CCGCAAAAAAAAAAAAAAAAAAAAAAAAAAAGATTTGAATAAGTGTTTTTCCAAATAAGATATATGAGTGGCTCATAAGCACATGAAAAGGTGCTCAAGATCATTAGTTATTAGAGCGATTCAAATTAAAACCACCTCACTCCCATCAGGATGGCTATAATGAAAGAGACAGACAACAAGTCTTGACAAGGATATGAGGAAACAAATTGTCATATATTGCTGGTAGGAATGTAAAATGGTGCAGCCACTTTGAAAAACAGTTTGGCCGTTGCTTAAGATAAACATAAACTTTCCATACAACCTAGCAAGTCTACTCGTAGGAATCTACCCAAGTAAAAACACATGCACATACAAAGACACTTACATGAACATTCATAGCAGCATTACTCAAAACAGCCCAAAACTGGAAACTCAAAATGTCCATCAACTGGTATTGAACAGATAAATAAAACAGTACATCCATACATTGGGATATTACTCAGCAACTAAAAGGAACAGACTACTGGTACATGCTACAGCATGGATGAACCTCAAAAACTTTAAATGGAGTGGAAGAAGTCAGAAGCAAAAGATTGCATATTAGTTCATTTATAAGAATATCCAGAAGAGGCAAATTTATAGACAGAAAGCAGATCAGTGGTGGCTTAGGGCTGGAGCCGGGCGCTGGATTGACTGCAAATACACAGGTGGGACTTTTTCATGTTGGTGGAAATGTGTGGTGATGGCTGCACAACTCTATACGTCATTGAATTGCTTAAAAATGAATGTGAGGATATTATGGTGAGACTCCAAGGAGAGTAGAGGCAGGGAGACAGCCTCCATTTCTAGAGTTACAAGACGGGAATAAAGAAGCCAGCTCTGTAGCGGGGCTAGGATGAGATAGGGAGGTGCAGGAACTGGATGCACGCGATGGCAGCATAGAGCCTGCGAAATCGAAGCGTCAAAGCCTAAGGTTCCGGAAGGCAGAAGGCTGGCGGTGACTGCCCAGACTGTGCCTGCAGCTTAGAGCTTAGGAGAAGTACCTGAGTGTGTAACTATGGAGTGGTTTAAAATACCATCAGTGGGACTTCCCTGGTGGTGCAGTGGTTAAAAATCCGCCCGCCAATGCAGGGGACACAGGATCGAGCCCTGGTCTGGGAAGATCCCACCTGCCGAGGAGCAGCTAAGCCCGTGCACCACAACTACTGAGCCTGCGCTCTAGAGTCCTTGGGCCACAACTACTGAGCCCACGTGCCACAACTACTGAAGCCCACGCGCCTACAGCCTGTGCTCCGCAACAAGAGAAGCCACTGCAATGAGAAGCTCACTTACTACAACAAAGAGTAGCCTCCGCTCGCTGCAACTAGAGAAAGCCAGCGGGCAGCAACGAAGACCCAACGCAGCCAAAATAATTAATTAATTAAAAATAAAATAAAATAAAATAAAATGCCATCAGCTAGTGAGAAATGGCAACTACTCCATACCATCAGCCAACCCCAGGCCCTGGGTCCGCTTGCCCCACTTTCTCTTCCTTTTGTAAACTGGAAAGCGCTTTGCAGTCTAAGACACGTCATTAGATTAAATAAGAGCGTTAAGTCCAGCGGACACTAGGTGCGGGGCATGTCGGGCGCTGAGAACGCAGGCCAGGAAAGTTGGTCTGGTCCCGTCCTCGCAGCCCAGCTCTCCAGCTGGTGACAGTGTCAAAACAAAGCAGCAGCAGCAGCCGCCTGAAGGGGGCGCCCGGATGTAACGCGCGGCCCCGCCCCGTCACGTGCCTGCGGCTTCGCGTCACACCCGGAAGCTGCTGCTGTGGGGAGCCGGCAGTAATGAGCGGGGAGACAGGGCCGGCGTCCGCAGCGCCCCCTCCCGGGGAGGTCGAACCGGGCAGTGGGGTCCGCATCGTGGTTGAGTACTGGTGAGGGGCTCAGGCCAGTGGGGAAATCCGGGCCGGAGGAGGGTGGGTCCACCGGAGGTACCGTCCCCGAAACCCAAGCGGACCTCAGGTATCTTCTCCCTAGTGAACCCTGCGGCTTCGAGGCGACCTACCTGGAGCTGGCGAGTGCCGTGAAGGAGCAGTATCCTGGCATCGAGATCGAGTCGCGCCTGGGGGGCACAGGTGAGGCCGCAGAACACCTGCTGAGTCAGTGTTCTAAATCCCAGCTCTACCACTTTCTAGCTCTGGCACATATAGTGTCCAGCAGTGTCTGGCACATAGTAAAATGTCCATATGCAACTTGAGTGAGGGGGGGTTACAGATGAAGCCTGTTGGGAAAAATGGGTGAGACTGAAGTGTAGGGTTGGAGGGGAGGGAACCCTCTATTGAGTTAGGAAGCCAAGTTCAAAGGAAGCGGCTGGGGCCCGTGAAGGACATGAAGGAGGGGCCTGTGTTAAGTCTAAGGAGTGTGGAGGGCCTCCCCTGACTTTTGCCCGTTCTCAGCATGCAGTTCATTCATCCGTTTATTTAATACCAGGGGCCTTTGAGATCGAAATCAATGGACAGCTGGTGTTCTCCAAGCTGGAGAATGGAGGCTTTCCTTATGAGAAAGATGTGAGTACTTGCCATGCTGGGAAGACTCCTGGTTCACCCTGACCCTACAATGAACGCATCATCCCATTCCACATCTCTGCCTTCTAGCTCATTGAGGCCATCCGAAGAGCCAGTAACGGAGAGCCCCTAGAAAAGATCACCAATAGCCGCCCTCCCTGCGTCATCCTGTGACTACACGTGATTCTGGGTTCCTGTTCTCTTCTGGGATCCAAGCCATGGTCACCCCTTTGGTTCTGCTGAGGGCTCCCTACTGCCTCTTTCACCTCACTTAGCTCCCTGCAGCTAAGAGACCCTGGCCTCCACTTTGCCCCTTTGGGTACCAGGAGGGTTCTGCGGTCTTAGGGGTCAAAGAGAAGACCCTCTCCATGGGCATTTCTACAGCCACCTTATACCCCTTTCCCAGGATCAGTGCCCACAAAAACCTGCTCCCCTCTCCAGCTTAGCCATACCTGTCAGATGCTACCATAGTTCTAATTTATTTTCCACTAACCCCAGGCAATGTCAGCTACTGGCAATAAAGTGGCACTGCAAACACCAGTGCCCACTAGTGTGTGTTTTTATGTCCAGTTTGGAACTGTGGGAAGGGAGGAGAGGGAGACAGAGGCCAGCCCAACCTTTATACCACCGACGTGATCCTGCTGTCTGGGTGGGTTTTTTCTGGATGGCTACTTCTAATTCAACGATTTCCTTGCCAAGGCAAGGAAAATGACTCACACGGTAGACACCGCCTCTTCTTTCCTCCATCCTTCCCCGACTACCCCTACCTACAGGGAGGAAATTACCCCATTCTGGTGGGTGGCCTTAGGAGTTTCTTTTCTTCTAAGCAAGAATGATCTGGTCATCAAAGGGCTCTCAGGTCAGAATCCCAACCGGTTTCCCCCCAACCCAGGCGCCAGGAAACTGGCAGTAGGCTCCTCATTCAAGCTTTCCGAAGATTCCTAGCCAGTCCCTCCAGGCAAGATGAACTGAATGTAGGTTAAGAGGTGAGCAGTAAAGGGGTGGCTCAGGGCCACCCCAGACATAGGCTTGTGTCCAGCTGTTTTCCAAAATATATTTGCAAATGGAGAAAGTGGGTATGGAGAAGGGACATCCCTCCCGCAACCCCAGGGACTGCCCCCCCCACCCCGCTTCCACAATACCCACTCTCCACCGAGTCCTTATTTCATCTTAAAAAAAATAATAAAATAAAACAACCAAAAAAAAATAAGTAAAAACAAAACCAAAAAAGCACTCTGTACAGGGACTGGATCTGGGCGCTGCTGCTGTCCCCTTCTTCTTAGGGGCAGAGCTAGGTCTCAGGGAGTCTCTGCTCTGGTTCCTAGACACCCTCTTGGGGCCTCTTCCCTTCCTAGGCTCAGCTTCCCTGTCCTTCAGTGTCAGGTTCTGGAAGAAGTCAGGCTGGGCTGCTCCCGCAGGTAAGGAGACTGGCTGTGGCATCCAGTGGACCCTAGTGGCTGGGCCAGGGCTCCAGCATCAGTCAAGACTCCCCGGTGCCGCCCCCTCTTCCAGCCAGGCTGGGCGGCTCTCAGCCACCTACGAGTTGGAAGAGGAAGATTGCTGGCATGGCAGGCTGCCCTGGATGTGATCCAAGGGCCCTCTCCCTGCCTCGTCCCGACGCGGGCCCCAAGTCAGGCCTTCCACACTCCCTGAGGGGCCAGCAGGGCCTCAGCGGTCCGGGCCTTTTGGCTCATACTGGCATGTCCAGACCCAGGTACTCAGGGTTCTCTGCTGTAGGGGTCCCTTCAAAGGTGCTGGGTGGAGAGCCCCGCTCTGATGGGTCCTGGTCCCAGTAATAGAGGTTGTCAAAGGCTGGGCTGAAGGCCGGAGAAGAGTGGGACTGAGGGGCAGCCCTGCCCCGGGGCGCCAAGTACTCGGGGTTCTCCACGGCAGCCCCAAAGGCAACAATGTCTTTGACAACCCCATTCTTCCCAGGGGAGAGAGTCTTGGGCCTTTCCAGAGTGGAACCGGCAGGTCGAGGAGGAGGCCGAGGGCCCTCTAGGGGTGAGGGGGGCTGTGGCCGAACCTCTGGCTGGTTCACATATTCTGAAAGGACAAGAGAAGGAGGCTTGTTAGGGGGGAGGAGCCCGTGTGTTCTGGCTGCTGCCCCTGCCCCCATAGTGGGCCCTGGGCTGAGCACCCCCAATCCCCACCTCCCAACCTCTCAGCTCGGGCCTGGACTCCATACCGGGCTGGGGGCTGCAGGTCAGGGGGGCAACGTAGCCATCGGTCTCGGGAGGAAGCGGTACTGTGGGGTCCTCGCTGTACCGCTGTAGAGGGCTGGAGTCATGTTGGGGGAGGTTCTGCAGCCCCTTGGCTGCCCCCATTCCCAAGTCACCGTCAAACACATCAGAGCCGGCCCCTTCGGAAGGTGCCAGCGGAGACCTGGGGGGCTCCTCCTCCGAGGGCTCCAGACCCAGCGTCAGCTCACCACCGCCACTCTGAGGACGAGAGAGAAGGTCATGATGGGGGTCATTCGTGATGGAGACTCCACGGGAGGTGACAGGGTCACAAGAGATAAAAGGAAGTTGCCTTCGGGGTTTGACACAGTCACTGTGGCAAGAGTGGGGTCACAGTTGGAAAGCAGTAGGAATCCTTCTTGGGGATAATGGGGTCTCCTCCGTGAGAGGTGATGGCTGGGGGACATTGGAGAAAGGGACTCTAGTCCACTGGGGTCGGGGGAAGTAACCAGACACACCCACCACACTGTGACAGGGGGCACTGACCCTGGTGGATGTGCTGCGGTGCCTGCGGTGGGCTGTGCCCCCAGAGCCCGGGGCAGGGTCTGGGCAGAAGAAGCCTTGCTGGGGTACCAGGTACTCCTCAGCATCCACCAGGTCCCCCATGTCATCATCCTCCAGCAGTGAGCGGTAGAAGGTGCTGTCCAAGGGGCTGGTAGGGCCCAAGTCTTCATTCTGGGGAGGCGGGAGACAGAGCGTGGCAACCTCTCCCCAGCCCAGCCTCCCAAGGGAGGCTCAGGGAGTACCAGAGGTCTGACGAGTCAGGGAAGGGCTGGGCTTGGAAGCCTGGGACCCAGGAATCATCTCCCTTTCCTCCCTCTAAGGGAGAGTGATCTTAGCCACAGGCAGGGATGGCATGGAAAGGCCCAGTACCTGGATGACCACAAAGCGCTGGGGGTCCCTGGCCATGCGGGAGAATTCGGCCACCAACTCCCGGAACCTCGGCCGACATTCAGAGTCAATCATCCAACCTGGGGGTGGGCAGGAGTCCAGCATCTCAGTTCTGGCTGCAGCCTGTGTGCAGAGCCCCTCACCCCCACCCCCGGCCTAGACAACCCCAGTTACTAGAGTCCAAAGCCCTCAGGTGGTAGAGAAGAGGTACCAGACTCGGATCCTGAGAGAGAACCTTTGAGAATCTCTACTAGTTTCCCCTTTTTATTTTGCATTAAGCCTCTTTCTAGCTGGTCCTTGATAGCTCCTCTGGACTGGTACTGTAAAGGGAAGTGAGACCCTTTTGAGACTGCATTAAACATATCCTGCTCTTGGCCCCTTCCCATGCCCCTCGTAGGCCCCTCCACCCAGGCCCTCCCACTCCTCCAAGCAGCCAACCCAGCTCAACCACGCACATTTGACCATGATCATGTAGACATCAATGGTGCAGATGGGGGGCTGGGGCAGCCGTTCCCCCTTCTCCAGGAGGTCAGGGATCTCCCGGGCTGGGATCCCATCGTAAGGTTTGGCGCCAAAAGTCATCAGCTCCCACACAGTCACACCTGGGGCAGAGATGGGGTCAAGAGGTGGGGGGACCAGAGGGAGCTTTAGTGTACTGAGCCCCAGAGGCTCTATCCAAGAGCCTGGCACCATGGGGGAAGGAGGGGAGGGATGCAGTGTCAAGGGCAGGAGATACCCAGTCTTTCCGCAGTCCCTGGCAGACTGAGGCACTGGCAGCCCCTTCCTTCCTTCATGCTAAAGTGTCCATTAATTCGCTCCATCCCAGCTCTCATCCTTCCACCCGCATCCCCCCCCAGGGCCACGGCTCCGTGTCCACCCTTCCAACCCACCCCATCACACACCATAGCTCCACACATCACTCTGGTGGGTGAACCGCCGGCGGAGAATGGACTCCAACGCCATCCACTTGATGGGCACCTGGGAGAGCAGAGAAGGAAGTGCTCCAACCAGGTATGGTGGGGAGGTGGCCGTTCTGAGTGCTCCCAGGGGCCAGACCCCACTCCCCCTTGCTTCACTCTGCTCCCTCCTCTGACCTTGCCCCCATCCGCATGGTACTCTGTCTCATCAATGTCCAGCAGCCGAGCCAGCCCGAAGTCTGTAATCTTGACATGGTTGGGACTCTTGACCAGCACATTCCGGGCAGCCAGGTCCCTGTGCACGAGCCGCACATCCTCCAAGTAGCTCATCCCCTGGGGTCAGAGGCATCTGTGTGGACCTCGCTCTGCCAGAACTCTCCCAGGAAACCTCCTCATCCTAGCTCTGAGTGGAGACAGATGCTTGCTCCCAAGGGCACCCGCAGAGCCCCGGCCCCCAAAGTGCATACCTTGGCAATCTGCACACACCAGTTCAG